CTGTCCTAAGATCCACAAGCATCTGCGTTTTAATAAGACCATTACATCGTATTGTGTTTGGTCAGGGCAATTACAACACATTCGTCGGATTCTGGAGTTGAATTACAGAAAATAAAACAGGAATCTCTCTCCTTTTTCTCCCTTCCTCCTTCTCAGCTCCTCTACTACTGCCGTCCATTACAACAAGTGGCCGGGCTTCCCCTCTGTGCTCTAATTGGAAAGCTGGATGGCAGTAGATTTAGCCAGTAATAGGGTCCTACAATTTGGTAGCAGAAGCCATCCTGGAGAGGCCTGTCAGAATTTGTAGAAGAGCCCAGTTGTGCGCATCCCACTTTGCAGCTCCAGAAGAAAACCCCTGCATTTTAATAGTGCAGCTGTAAGCATTTCCGTAATTCAAGGTGGCGTCATTAGAGGCTTATTTATTCACCCGAGGTGTCTGCCAGGAGGGAGATGACGCCGCCCAGATCAGCTGTGGCAGCTCACTCTCAGCACCTCCTGCAGGGCTGGAGAAGGGGAAATTACAGAGGAATGGGCAAACACGACAATCATAGCATCGTTACTGAATTAGCACATAAAGAAAACAACAAGCTGTGTCTGTAGGTATAGGGAGATGGGTTATATTCTGTTGTTAAAGGGGCAGAGTTTGCAGAGGTGGAGGAGGTTTAAAAAAGGTATAATATAGGGCATTTAGAGAGAAGCAGCCTAGGAGAAAAATGATAGTAAAGCAGGACTTTACAGGCTTTCAAGGTAATGTGTCACCCAAGAAATTTGCAAGCGATTCCCCAGAACAAGGTTTAAAAGGTTTTTCACAGCAATATTCAGACGTGAGCACAATTTCTCTCTAACTTACTCTAACCAAGTAGTCTTTTTTAAGTTAACTGTACCTTAACTGTAACGTATTTTTATTTTATTGTTTTTACCTAAACAGTTACCGAACTTCTGGACCAAGGGCATTTTTTCAGAATATCAATGCCACTCTCATATCTGTCCGTTAAAATATGAAAATACACCCAGCAGCCGTTTACCTTACCGTTGCACAAAGACCGGAAAGCTAGTCTGGCTCTCTCCAACAGTAACAAAATCTACCTAGCAGCACCTCTAAAACTCACTGAACAACACTTTGTAATTGACATTTGCTGTTATGTTTTCTAATGGTACTGGGTACTTCATGTCATTGTTAAAAGAAATGTCAAACTTTTTTTTTAAAACTCCCACATATTTCATTTGTTTAAATAGGAAAAAATATGTTTTAAAATGACTAAATTCCTAGTTTTATGGGGGTTTGGCGCTGGACTGTTTCTTGCTGGAGGTAGTAATTTACTGGAGTCATTGCTGGTTGCCTGGCAACTGCTCGGAGCCAACAAATAACCCCCCGTAAAAGTGGTGAATTGTCATTTTTACAGTTGGGCTTTTGTTTGATATAGCGTGTTAATTAGTGAGTTTAAGAGGTGCTGGTAGGCAGATTTTGTAACGGATGGTAAGAGCCAGGGTAGCTTTTTCCCACTGTTTCCAGTCTTTGTGTTAAGCTAAGCTAGTTGGCTGCTTGTTGTAGCTTCACATATAATGGACAGATATGGGTGTGGTATTGATCTTCTCATCTAAAATATGCAATAAACACATTTCCGTAGATGTGAAACTATTCCTTTAAGAAAGTTTTTCAGTTTTTGAAAACCAATACTCTTTCATAATTAGAAGGATGTTTTTCAGCATATTGATACTCGTCTCTGGCTTTGGGTCCATATCACCTGGCGTAACTAGATATCAGCATAACAGCATCCATTTCAACTGTGTTATACTATAGTCTATGTATGCCAATAATTTAAATATAAAATTTGTAGAAATTGGCACCTGGAGCGAGCGGCCAGAAATTGATTAGTATTTAATGTTGCTTTCTGAGGTGTGGCAATGACTTTAAACTGCCACTGACATTCGGATATACTGCCTAAAGAATTCATGTTATCATTTTAGCTCAAAGAGAAACATTGTACCTGTAGACTCTTTTTCTTTCGTTCAATCCAAGTGCTTTTTTTATTTCAGTGTAAAATGCAACACAAAAACTCAGAAAATGTTCAGAGCTGGTGTGACCAAAGGTTGAATGCTTTAATTAGGTAGGCATATTTTTCACATATTTCTGCATCAGAGTGATGTGAAATGCTGTCAAGTAAGATCATGGCAGAGCTACCATAAAACCCCATTTAATATCATTATCCTCACTACAAGGTTAATATTGCGCCCTTTTGGTGTTGGCTTTTAACATTGTTGATAGTATGTAAACTGGACTGTACAATTCTGACCACTCGCACACACATACACACAATCTTAAGAATGATTAGTGTCTGAAATTACCCAGTAATAAGTTTCACCATTAAGAGCCAACACAGAAGTAGAAAACCGAACACTTTTGCAGCCACTTGGTAACTGGATTTTCTCATTAGTGGGTGTGGAATTTCAAATAGATTTGTGTTTTTATTTGCCAAATGGAAACCCCCTTCAGCCCTTAATATCAAGTGTCCATCCTATGGCAGCAGTAATGCTTGCAATGTCTCAGCGCTGTAACCTAGCAACGAGACCCCCACTTATATAATATCTTGTTTATGATGTGTTTTTTTTTTCAATAAGGAACAACAGATGACAAAATCATATTTTGTGCATTATGCAATAGCTGTATCCGAAGTCCTTATATCACACATTCACTATTCTCCAGATAATAATAAATGCTTCATACGTAATAGTGAGCAGTAAATTGACATTCAGTCATCCTAGTCATTTTGCACCACAATTAGTTGTAATTTTAGCAAAACATAGTTAACATGCAATGGACACGATATTCCTTGTTCTACTGGTGGAATTTTTAAACTACTAACATAGGAAAATGAGAGTGACTCACATAAAGTTGATGAAAGTGAATATCAGGACATTGTTTTACTTCTTACCTAAAGCAGTTTCAAAAAAAATCCAAACACCTAAGGTCTGAATTGTTTGATGGTGTCTAACTACAATAGTTTATAAAGAAATGGAACAAAAACATGGGTTATTGTCTGCTGAATAAATTACTGTTCAGTTCCTCACAAACATCCACATTCCGTAGATGATAAAAGTTTGCCACATCTTATTGTCTAAAGTTTGTCTGTTTGTCTATTGATCTTTTATTCTGTTTCCCGGACTTGGTTGTTATTCTCTACTTGGGCAAACAGTGTTATACAGTAAAGCAACTCATCTGTAGTGGCTCTGAGCTAAAAAACTGAGGGCTCTTCATCTGAACCTTTGAAAACCTCCTGCCAAGAGAGATAGGATCAGTAGACAACCCCAACATTTTCAATTTTGTGCTATCAGACACTGAGGAGATGTGTCAACAGTGGGGTCCTACAGCAAGTAAACACAGGAGTCTGACAAGCAATAAGCTAGATTCAACATCGCCTCCGGTCCTCTCCCACTGAAGGTCCCCCACTTTCGTCTCATTTAGATCCAGATCTGTTGATCAAAAATGACGCCTATCCCCCCACAAAACAGAAAACACCAGTGATGAGAATGTTTTCCGGGGCACTCCCTCATATCATCGAGGGTAGTGCCTGTGTAAGGCTGGGTCAGTACAGGCTGGGGGAGGTACCATTTGTGAATGATAGATGTGTTTTTCCTTGAGCCATAGAGGTTCCAGTTATATGAGTATTAATACTTTTAATGATGGACCATCCTGTATTTGACTGTAGGCTGTATTTGCTTTTATTATACAATTAGTGCACATGGTTTTAATGTAGTAATGTGGGCTTCATGTTGACAATAGATATTTTTTTTCATTATGATGCATTATGGTGCATATTGTTTTGCTTTTCATTTAAATTTTACAACATTGGAAGAGGGAAGACAAGGGCAGTAAGATTAATATAAATAAGTATAAAAAAAACAAATTAAACATATGGTTGATGTTGTCATTATTCATAATGTGTGTTCTAAGCAGCATCCTCTGTATTGTTGCTCATAATACAAGCGAAGAGGAGCAAATGAGGGTGGCAGCAGCTAAATTGAACAGAGCTCAGTGACAATAGAGACCATATGACTTCCAAAAAAGTGTTGGTGGGTTTAAAGTGGAACTCGGGAAATTGTTGAATCAACTTTTCTTTTGTTAGTTTTTAGCAGGCATCAGGAGGGATCAGAGGGCAGAATAGTTTGAAGCCCCAGACGACTGAGAAGCCATTACTGTATGGCACAGTCCACTGCAGAAAAGCTCCCTCAGAGATTCAAATCTTGCCGATTAAAATAGTGTCTCATAAGCCTGTGTGTGTGTGTGTGTGTGTGT